CCGCCGGCGGCCGCCGCGCAAACTCGTGCCGCTCGCCTACAAGCAGTTCAGCCCCAACGTGCCCGAGAAGACCCTGGGCGCCAGCGGGCGCTATGAAGGCAAGATCGCGCGCAGCTCGGAGCGCTTCAAGGAGCTCACTCCCAACTACAATCCCGACATCATCTTCAAGGACGAGGAGAACACTGGCGCCGACCGCCTCATGACCCAGGTGAGCGCGATTCGCCTCCCAGCGTGCCGCAGCCGCCGAAGCACCGCCACCTGCCCGGCACTACCCGCCCCCTGGCACCTTTTTCTGCTGCCTGGCACGCCCCCTGGCACCTGCCCCTCTCGCCAAGCCCGGCTGCCTCCTGCCCAAGATGGGCGGGCCAGGGTCCCGGCGGGAGTGCCGGCATCCCCTAGCCCTCTGGAGACTGCGAGAAGAGCTCCCCGCTGCCAAGCCCCACAGCCCAGCAGGTTGGCAGCGGCCCCTCTGCCCCGGAGTGCTGGCAGCTCAGGCCAGACGTGGCGCCCGGGGGTACCTCGACGCGGCTGCCTCCTGCGCCTCCGGGGTCCACGCAGTCCCTCCCGGCCTAACCTCCCGCACCGCTGCGCCCCTTTCATTTCGAAGCCATTCGGCACCCCGGAGGGCGAAGAAGCTCTGGGAGCAGAGGGTCCCAACCGTCTTTTCAACCTGCGCTCTCTCGGTTCGCTGCGCTGCCCCCTCCTGGAGCAGTGGGTCTTGGGTTAAGGAACAGAAGGGAAGAGTTGAGCAGGGAGGCGGAGGTGGGAAAGGGAACCCGCCGGGCGAGCCCACGTGTCTGTCCCGGGAGCTGAGCGGCGCGGCTGCGGTTAAAGGGTGGAGTGCCGGGGCCTTCGGGCTCTGGGACCGAACTTGGGGGAATCCCTGGGCTTGGTGGCGGGGACGGGATTGGAAGTGAGGGGCTGGGATGCCGACGGACGCAGGGAGCAGAGCTGACTCTAGTCTGCACACTCGGAGCAGGACTCGCTCTCCGTCGGGGCGCGCAGGGGCTCAAACTTCCTTTCCTGCCGCCAGGTCCGCAAAGGGAGAGGCCCACGCCCCCTTCCTCTGGGGTCTCCCGGGGCTTCCCCCGCAAGCAGGCAGTCGAATGGGCTTTCTAGTTCCTTCAGGAAGGGCAGCTAGATCACGGCCTTCAGCATGCGCCCTGGCGCCGGGGCTGGCCAGCCGGTGTCGGGGCCGAAGGTTGGCTGGTGGCCGGGCCGGGCCGGGCGCCGAGGAATGCAGATAAGGATCCGGGCCACGGGCTGGGCAATCATTGACAGCGCGCGCCCAGGCTCTGGACCCGGGGTAGGGGCGGTGGGGGAGAGAGAGGCGGGGAACCGGGGGCCCGCGGGGCGGACGTAGGTGGGGGCTAGAAGCTTGGCGGCAAGGACCAGGAAGGAACACGCAGAGTTCCTTCTCGGGGCTGTAAGCGCCCCCAGTCAGGCTGCGCGCTGGGGCGGACCGGCCCCGCCTTGGGTTGTAGTGCTATTGGCTCCTGGGAGGCCAAGTCCAAGGGTCTGTGGGGCCCGGGTTCCGCGGAATGGGGGTAGGTTGAGACATGGGCTGCCCACACTTGGCGGATCCTCACACCTAGGAGTCAAGGACTGGTGGAAGGAGCCCCCTTACCCCGCGGGCCGGGGACCAGGCCCCTGCGCCCCCTTCCCTCAGTCAGCTGCATGGTCCCTCGAGCACTCAGAACCCAGGGGAGGCAGCAGTGACATACGGTCTCCTCCATCCTTCCTCCAGAGCGCGACTCTTCCCTACCCCATGTGAGGAGGATCGGGAAGCCCGCTTCCTGAGATCACAGGCTGGGTTTCTCAGGTCCCTTCACATACAGGGGCATCGGATTCCTGAAGAGGTGCTGAGGGCTCTGGAATTGTCAACCCTGCGCGCACCCCTTGCAGAGGGAGACGCTCCGAGTTGTCGCCCATGGAGCGGCTCGGAGACTAGCCCTCCAACTTCTGGTTCTCAGGCCTTCGCATGTCGCGCGCTGGTGCGGGCCGTTTTGGGATCATAAGAGGGTCCCAGCAGGAATGCTCTGTGGTGCTCTAGGGATCTAGGCAGCCCTGGGATTCCCCTCCAACACACCCCCCGATGCTGCTGGGGCGCTCTGCACCTGCCGCTCCTCCAGGGCCCGTTGTCCCTGGGCCTCAGCCCTGAAGCTGCGGTGACACCTACTGGGCACCTCGGGCTTTGCACGCCTAGCAGGCCAGCCGCAGGCAGTTGCCTCCGCTATCACCTCGTCCCTCCTGGCGCCCGCCGGCCCTTGTGCCTTGGCCAGACAGAAGCACCGGCTCTGGAAAGGTGTAGTCCCATCTGTGGAAAGACGGATACGGGGGTGCGGGGTAGGGGGCACAGGAGGGAAGGGGAGCTCCACCTGTCACAGAAAGGCGCCCCGAGGGTGCCTACCGCTATGGGACCTCCAGATTTGTGGCGCCACCATACGGTCGAGGTCCCTGGGGACGCCTGGATGCTAGAATGGGAGGGAGCACGTTAGGACCCTCTGTTCCTGAGGGAGAGGGGCAGAACGTCCTCCCCGGTTTTCCAACCCCAGTGGGTGCGGTGGGAGAGTCCGTGGCGAGGCTGCGCCTGCACCTGCATCCGGGCCGGCTCCTCCCCCTAACTCCAAGCACATTCCTCTCGCAGCGCTGCAAGGACCGCCTGAACTCGCTGGCCATCTCCGTGATGAACCAGTGGCCCGGCGTGAAGCTGCGGGTGACCGAGGGCTGGGACGAGGACGGCCACCACTCGGAGGAGTCCCTGCACTATGAGGGCCGCGCGGTGGACATCACCACGTCGGACCGCGACCGCAATAAGTACGGACTGCTGGCGCGCTTGGCAGTGGAGGCCGGCTTTGACTGGGTGTATTACGAGTCGAAGGCGCATGTGCACTGCTCCGTCAAGTCCGGTGAGCCGCCGCCGGGGGGCCGGGGCCGCAGGGCGTGGGCAGGCAGCGCAGTGCCCACTTGGGAGGAGACGGTGAAGAGGCCCACCAGGGTATGGAAGCGGGGATCCCGGGGAAGAGGACGTCGGCGGCGCTTCCCGCGGCTGCTGGTGACCGCCTGCTCCTCCCATGCCTGGTAGTGTCATGGAAGGAGCCTAGGGAGACAGGGCCCTGTCCTAGCGCTGCTGGGTGCTGAGCTGGTGGTCCACAGTCCAGAGCCTGCCACAGGAGGTGCAAGACAGAGCAAGCTGGACAGATGGAGGAAGCCAGGCCGACAGACACAGCCTCCCCACCCAGTCTGGTGCAGAACAAGGGGTGGTGGGGCCAGGGGCCAGGGTGTGCCCAGACGCCAGTGTGCCCCACCAGGAGCCCAGAGGTTCAGAACCCACCACCCAGCTGCAGGTCAGGCCTCCCATGGGGCGCAGGCGTCCCCAACCTCTCCCCCAGGGCCCCGAAGCTGGATATTTTGGGGCAAAGTCAGCAATGAGAGCCAGAATAAACAAAGTGGACTCAATAAAGTGGATTTTCCCAGATTGGCCGCCTTGTTGATCAGAATTGGCAGGCACTGGGGCCTCATGCCCCCCCCCCAAAGTCTTGTCAGTGTCCCTGTCACCTACACTGAACCCAGTCATGGATGCTTCCAGTGGTTCCTGTGTGGTCCCAGCCTGGTCCCACCAGGCTGCAGGCTCAGCCCTCCACATTGGCAGCACGTAGTAGTTGCACTCACAGACTGGCACACGGAGGACAGGCCCGCATTTTGGTATTCTTGATCCCTCCCTGACCCACGCCACGCCATAACCTTCCACTCAGCACTTCCCCCACCACAAATCACGTTGCCCTTCATCTGCAAATACTGGCCCAGGACTGGCTCCCACCACTCATTACTCCTGACCCCCAAACACTGTTCTCCAACTCAACAGCTAGTGCTGCTGTGTCCTGTCCCCACACAAGGACCCAGCACATGAACTGAAGATAGTGATTGTGTCCCAGCCCCTGACCTGACCACTCACTCTGAGGCTGCCCCAGGAGTCCATATTCACCAACTACTGGCTGGCCCTCCTCTCCCCTCCACAGACTCAAAGGGCCAGCTGTCCCAGAACTTGGGGTGTCAGTCTGAGAGGACAATTTTGGGGGTGTGTCTGAACAAGGGATGAGAAATAAGGGGACAAGCAACTTCCCCTCCCCAAGAGGCTGCAGTTTTCCTGGTGTCAAGTCACAGCCACCCACTGCCTGGCTCAGCTGCCCTCTGGCCTGTGTCTCACAGCAATGTCATGATGTGAATAGGTGGGGGACATCACCTGGGCTTCAGGAGGGCTCTTTCCCTCTCGCCCACTGGGTTTTGAGGCCCCAGCGTTCTCTCATTGGCAAAGGATTAGGCTGGGGGGCAGAAGATGACATTGGGGTTGGGGGTGGGTTCCAGCCTGCATGGGCAGTGGGGGTAGGGCCAGGATATGGGGATGGGGGCTCTCTGGGAGCAAGAGGAGCTCTGGCTGGACTGGGGGGACTGGGGTAGGGGCTTGTGACTAGGAATTTGAGCTCCCAAATGCAGTAATGCCTTCATGTCCCTTCTTCCCACAGAGCACTCAGCCGCAGCCAAGACAGGCGGCTGCTTCCCGGCTGGAGCCCAGGTGCGCCTGGAGAGTGGGGCGCGGGTGGCCTTGTCAGCTGTGAGGCCGGGAGACCGAGTGCTGGCCATGGGGGAGGACGGGAACCCCACCTTCAGTGACGTGCTCATTTTCTTGGACCGCGAACCAGACAGGCTGAGGGCCTTCCAGGTCATCGAGACCCAGGACCCCCCACGCCGCCTGGCGCTCACGCCTGCCCACCTGCTCTTCACGGCCGACAATCACACGGAACCGGCGTCCCACTTCCGGGCCACGTTCGCCAGCCACGTACAGCCTGGCCAGTATGTCCTGGTGGCTGGGGTGCCAGGCCTGCAGCCTGCCCGGGTGGCAGCTGTCTCCACACACGTGGCCCCCGGGGCCTATGCCCCACTCACAAGGCATGGGACCCTGGTGGTGGAGGATGTGGTAGCTTCCTGCTTCGCGGCTGTGGCTGACCACCGCTTGGCTCAGTTGGCCTTCTGGCCCCTGCGACTGTTTCACAGCCTGGCATGGGGCAGCTGGACCCCTGAAGAGGGTGTACACTGGTACCCCCAGCTGCTCTACCGCCTCGGGCATCTCTTGCTAGGAGAGGGCAGCTTCCACCCACTGGGAATGTCCGGGGCAGGGAGCTGAAAGGACCTCACCACTGCCCTTCCGGAACTGCCATATTAGGTCCAGAGGCCTCCCTGCCAGGAGGGTGCTGGCCCTGGAAGGGGCCTGAGCTGGGGGCACTGGTTCCTGCCATCTCTTCTACGGTGGAGATACACCATTGAGACTTGACTGGGCCACGCCAGCATCCCTTACCCCATCTTGGTGTAGTGATAGAGCTGCAAGCTGAGCTGGCAAGGGGGTGGTGGTCTGTCCTGTCTAGAGACTTGGAGGCTGGCACGGTGGCTCCCAACCCAGCCAGCTCTCACCACAGTTTTTCACACCTGGTCTCCCCCAGTGGGGAGGGCCCATTCCATCCATCTTAGGCCCCACTTAGGTGGACTTGCACCTCGGTTGATGCTGCTAGATTCTCTGGGAGCCAGCAGGGAGCTGGCTAGACTAAATGCTGCCCAGAACTGAGAAGGCCACGGGGGGCAGCCCACCTGGCCATCCTGAAGCATGACCTTGCTCCCTGGCCACACTCCTCCAGACATATCCAGAGACTGTTGCCATCAGTAGACAGAGTTCTGTGTTCTGGCCAATGTGACCATACTGCTTGGGACAAGGGTAGGAGGGCTGGATGTCCTTGCCACCCCTACCCAGGCTAAGCTCCCTTTTCTGCTGAACCATGACCCTCACCCCCGCCTCCAGTCAGTCTCCCCCACCTTATTTATTGGCGCATAGGGGGAAGCACATGGGAGAATTTTGGGGACTTTTTGGTCTTTTCTTCCTTTTGTAATAAAAATTATTTAAGTTGTTAGAACCCTAGAGTCCAGGATGCTGGATGGGGCCAATACACAGATACTTTGGGGCCATAGATGGGTCTGTCCAGGGGTTCATTCCTCAGTGAGGCCTGTTTCACCTTCCTCCAAGGGCAAAACCTCCAGAGCTCCCACCCTCTCTGCAGGCCCTTTCTCACCCAGTAGATCTTGCAAAGTCCCAACAGAGAGGTGTGCTCTGTGCCAGGCAGGGCCTTCACACACTGACCCCAAAGTTTTCCCTAAACATTGTTGGACCAGAGACAGAACTGAGGTAACTAGTCCATGTCATCTAGACTACCGTCTAGACTACTCATCTAGATTACTATCTCATTGTGCTCTCGGGGCCCGGGTTTCTGACTCTTCCCTGCTGGTAATGGACCACAGTATGAAAAGATTGTGTAGAATTCACATTTGTCTTGTGGATTATTCTGACTTCTTGGATAAGTAAGAGGTCCCTAACCTAGCAGGTCTCAAACCTCAAAATCACCTGGGCAGCTTGTTTAAAGATTCCTGGCCTTATTTCCAGGATTCTGCTTTAGAAGATCTAGCACAAATCCAAGGAACTTACTTTTACAAACACCCCAAACATGGCAGAAAGTCCACGGACCACACTTTGAGAGACCCTGCTTAGTCTAGAGAAGGCCTAGTGTATGCGAGGACAGGAGGACCCCTTCTTCACTTTCTCTCAGTCCCTCCATCCCAAGGCAAGTTTTTCTGTACTCACTTTGGATCAACTAAGATACCAGGTCCAGAGGTACGATTGTTAAATTTTCAGAAACTTTTTGAGCCAGCTGAAATAGGCCATGGTGACCATGAGACACCATGTTGGTAAAAGCTACCAATTAGGATTCCCCCAACCATGGAGAGCCAGTTGTTAAAGTTCAGGTTCTGCCCTCTTGCAGAGATGACTATGTTGGAAGTGGTGGGGATGACTGCTCAGACTCTTACCTACCACCCCCACCTCCAGGGAGGAAAACTCCAGAGAAAACTTCATGGCTCTGGGGTCTGTGTCCTCTGGAGAAATGGGCCCCCATAGGCTATAATGATAACTGCTATCACTTAATGAAGACTATCCATTGCTAGGCATTATTCTAGATCTTTACACTTAGTAGCCCATTTAATTCTCATAACAACCCTACATGGTGTGTACTTCAATACTACCATTTCCCAGATGAGAACGCAGAAGCATAGAGAGGTTAAGTAACTTGTCCAAGTTTACACGGGAAGTGGCAGAAGCAGGATTGGAATACTTCCAGTCTGGTTCTTGGACCCATTCTTTTTGGACCATGAGGCTTTTCCTTTGGTGAATTTGGGTTCTCTCTAGAAGGTCACTCTCAGCATTTCAGGTCTGGAAATTTGCTTTGTCAGCACATCTAGAGTGGACCCCTCTCTCTGTGACAGACTGTCACTGACCAGACTCATGGGGACCAAAAGCTCCATGAACTCGTTTACAGTTAGGAATGTAAGAGCAGGGCCAAGATGCTCGTATCCATTCATTTGCACATTCATTCCCCGTAGACATGCTACCTGGGAGATCAGATTGTAATGACAGTTGTGGGTATCGATGCATGGAGTGGATGACTCTTCAGACCATGGAGGAAGGAGAGAGAGAGGGAGAGAGCACTTTTCCTGCTGGGCCTGGGCACACTTGGTCCAGCAGACACAGAGCCATTTGGTATCCCCAGACCTTTATGTTCTAGATGGGCTTCCTCAGGCAACACATTCATCCTTTGGACAAAGATTACAAAAATTCAGTCCCTCAAAAGACAAACCTTAGGGTGGGGTTGATGGCACACTGCTTTTCCAGGGATCCTGAGCCCAGATCAGAGGAGACAAGGGAATGGGCAGACAAGGGAACGGAGAGAAAAGGAGAGACAGCCTGAAAGGCATCTTTCACATCTGCAGTGTGATGGCCCCGTTTCTTTCTATCCTGTGTACAATGCAAAGATTCAGTCCCTCAAAAGACAAACCTTAGGGTGGGGTTGACAGCACACTGCTTTTCCAGGGATTCTGAGCCCAGATCAGAGGAGACAAGGGAATGGGGAGACAAGGGAACGGAGAGAAAAGGAGAGACAGCCTGAAATGCATCTTTCACATCTGCAGTGTGATGGCCCCGTTTCTTTCTATCCTGTGTACAATGCAAAGACTCAGAGGAAGGTCACCCACACCACCCAGGCCCAGGCAGCTACTAACTCAATGCTTACCTCTCCTCTTGGGTTCAGCCCCCAAAGCTGTTGCATCCACAACTGTGATCTTCATTCTCGGTCAAGGTTTACTGGACACCCCTCTGCGTCAGGCACTGTGCCCAAGTGGGGGAAAGAGACAGTGCCTGTCCTCCATGAACTCCTAGGTAGGGAGGGAGAAGTATGGGAGACAGGGATATCCACACCATGTGCTGAAGTGTTGTGACTGACATCCCTACAGGGGCTATGGGAGTCCCAGGAAGTGGCATGTAACTAGGAAGGCTTCCTGAAGGTGAGAATGCTACAACTGGGGCAAGAAGGAGTTTGCCTGGCAGGCAAGAGGAAGGAGGGGATCCAGGCTGAGGACACAGTAAGTCAAAGACTCGGAGGTTTGAGTGAGCCTGGGGGCTTCAAGAAGCCACCATGAGGCCAGCATTGCAAAGCTATGTGAATGCAGGTGGGCTTGGCAAAGTTGAGGTGGAGAGGTGGCAGGGGTCAGGTGACACACAGCATGTGTTCCACGCATTTGGCCTCAGGCCTAAGGGCCTGGGGAGCACCCAGGGAGGGTTTGAAGTGGGGAAGGCTCATGACCACAATGTTTGTGAAAGCTCACCTGGCTACAGTATGGTCCATAGACTAGAGGGGGCAATACTGGAAGTGGGGGATCCATTTATTGGGGAAGGAAGTTAGTGACCTGGACTGGGGAGGTGGCCATGGGGTCAGAAAGTAAGTGACGGATTGTAGACATTTAGGCAACAGAATGGCCAGGAGTGAAGTCAAGGTGGGATGAGCAAATAGGGGTGAGGAAAGGGCCTAAGTCAACTTCAGCTTTGGGGTTTTTATGCACAAGATCCATCTCCCCCACCCCAGCACCCTTGACGTTGGCCCTTCTTTGGCATTAGTGGCTGCATCTGTAAGGGTGATGGCCCAGGCTTTCCTGTGTAGACATCCTCTCTCCTTGTGGCTCAAGGCCGGTCTACTTGAGTTCAAGGCCTCCCCACCTGCCTGCCCCTGGGCTCTTGCTCTCTTTGCCTGCCTCCCTCCCTTAGAAGTACATGGGGAAGAAACTCGGAGTAGTCCCTGATAATTTAGTCCAGGCAAAGTGTAAGGCCTATGCCTAAGTCCACAAGTCCTGGGGCAGACCTGGATAGTAAGACCTGCTGAAGTCAAGGTGGGATGAGCAAATAGGGGTGAGGAAAGGGCCTAAGTCAACTTCGGCTTTGGGGTTTTTATGCACAAGATCCATCTCCCCCACCCCAGCACCCTTGACGTTGGCCCTTCTTTGGCATTAGTGGCTGTATCTGTAAGGGTGATGGCCCAGGCTTTCCTGTGTAGACATCCTCTCTCCTTGTGGCTCAAGGCCGGTCTACTTGAGTTCAAGGCCTCCCCACCTGCCTGCCCCTGGGCTCTTGCTCTCTTTGCCTGCCTCCCTCCCTTAGAAGTACATGGGGAAGAAACTCGGAGTAGTCCCTGATAATTTAGTCCAGGCAAAGTGTAAGGCCTATGCCTAAGTCCACAAGTCCTGGGGCAGACCTGGATAGTAAGACCTGGAGTGTCCGTGCCCGGGAGACCAAGTCGGGGAGCCTCCTGGCTGTGAGGCCTCCGGAGCTGCTTGGTTTAATTGCCCTCAACACAGGAGCCCACTGCACCATGACTACCCTACCCCCCTGTGCTGCGGCCTCTGCACAGGTTCCCTTCCCCAACTGTCCTTGCAGCCTCCTCTCTCTTGTTTGGAAAGCCCCGATCACCACTGGAAGCCGTGGGCCTGTACTCCCTCCTTTCTCCCGACACACACAGGCCTCAGGGTGTTGCACAGGGGATGAGGTCTGACAATGAGCTGCCCTGTGTTGGGAAGGGCTGAGCCAAATGCAACAGTCCTTTAGGCTGCCCAGCCTGCTGGGAGCACCTTAGGCCCCTGGGTGGGAACAGGAAATAGGTACCTTCCACTTAAAAACTTAGCAGAAAGCGCCCTCTTAGGGACGCCAGTTAGAAAAGGCAACTCTTCCGCTCTGGCGCCAGGAGCAGTAAGTCCGTTTAGCAGAGAGCCTAGCGCAGGGCGCACAGTGGGGTGTGCAGCGTCTGGATTCCAGCACCCCCTTGCCTGTTCAGGCAACAGCCCTATGTTGTGTACAACTTGTGCAACCGTAAACGTTGGTCCTAATCGGCCTGGGCCTCTCCCAAGCTCAGCCTATTCTGCGGGAAATGAAGATTCGGAAGGAAGCCCTGCACAGTGCGACACCGGAGGAAGCACAGTGCGACTAGAAAGAAGCCGGGCGGGATGCGCAGGCCCCGGAGACCTCCTGGAGGTGGCTTGGGCAAGGGTAGGTGGATGGATTGTCAGGGGCAGATGCGCGAAGGGCAAGTTCAGGGCACGCTCAGGGATTGGGAGCCGCTGTAGTTGGGACTGGAAGTGCCCGTGGGGAAGACTGAGAAATGGGACGGGGGAGGGGAAATGCTGCGCCCTTGGGCAGGGACGGAGCTGAGGGCCTGGCGGGGAGAGCCCGAGCAGGAAGCGACCCACAGAGGTCGTACCCCAGCGGTGGACGCCTTTGGGGGAGAAGGGGGAGGGGAAATGCTGCGCCCTTGGGCAGGGACGGAGCTGAGGGCCTGGCGGGGACAGCCCGAGCAGGAAGCGACCCACAGAGGTCGTACCCCAGCGGTGGACGCCTTTGGGGGAGAAGGAGGCCCAGCTTCCCACCTCGGAGGGTGCCCCCGCCCGGGAAACCTCCCTGACAGAGTTGGTGACGGCAGTTCCCCCACCCCGTGCCCTCTGGCCTCTGGGCGGCTGCGCCTCCTGGGGCTCGGCCCCACGTCCCACACC